CCCGTGCACGAATTTCATGCACTGGGCCTCTAGTAAACAAATAAAAAAAAACCCCAAGAGATAAGTACTGGTGAGGATGTGGAAGACAGGGAACCTTTGTGTATTATTGGTGGGAATGTAAATTGATACATACATTGTGAAAAAACAGTATGAAGGTTCCTCAAAAAATTAAAAATAGAACTGCCATACCAAATGATCCAGCAATCCTACTTTTTCAGGATATCAATGAGAAAGGAAATGAAAACAGGCTATCAAAGAAATACCTGCACTCCCATGTTCATTGCAGCATTATTCACAACAGCTAAGAGATGGAAGCAACCTAAATGTCCACCAACAAACAAATGAATGGATAAAGATGAAGTGTGTACACACAAACACACACGGCTATTTTCAGCCACAAGAAAGAAAGACATGCTGTTGTTTGTGACAACATGGATGGACCCTCAGGGCATTATAATAAGATTAAGTCAGACAGAGAAAGACAAATACTGTATAATATTCACTTATTGTAGAATCTGAAAAAGCCAAACCCATAGCAGTAGACACCAGAACGGTAGTTACCAGGGGCTGAGAGAATAGATATTAAATGTTCTCACCACGAAAAAGAAATTATGTGATGTGATACAGGCATCAGCTAACGCTATGGTGGTGATAGTTTTACAATGTATGTGTATCAAATCAACATGCTGTATGCCTTAACTTACACAATGTTATATCAGTTACAGCTTAATAAAGCTATTAAAAAAACACTCAAAATTCTGTTCACAGCCTCTGGAACATAGTAAACTTCCATGAAGCTACATTTGATACTTAATATGGAAACTGAAGCTGTTCCAGAGTTTGATTTACGGTAAGAAGTGTCACCCAGTTGACATGTGGAATTGCCAGGGTCATGCTTTGTTATTGAATTCAAGGAACCCACCTGAGCTGCTGCTGGTTTTTTCGTAAAAGCCTCCCGGGACGCTTACTGTCCATTGTCCAGGCTCTGAGGAAGGCAGGGGACGGGATGAAAAACTCCGACAAGGAGGGCAAGGTCATAGCCTAGAAAAGAAACAGGCATTTGTAGAAATTTGCCCGAGGGTTTGGAAAAGCACTCTTAAAAAGATACTGCTTTAGGAAGAAATGAAGCACCATACAAGAACATCTGAGGGAAAGAGTATCTTGAGTAATGGTACTATCTACTGAAACATTCCCAGAACTAACTCAAACTAATCAGCTGAGAGAGAAGTGAGTTTTCCATTTCTAAATCTGAGCCCAAAACTCTTTTTTGATCAGAATGTTTTAGAAAATGAAACTTTAAAATTAATTTTTAGATGAGTCTAACTCACAAGAGCAGAGTCACTGTAGAGGAAGCAAGGGCCTCGTCTACATCCATCCTGTGATTCTCTAGCAGTGTCTGCATTGCCCAAGAAGTATCTTTTGATTCTGAAATATTTCAATATCTTTGGATCCTACTGCTAGCCCCAAACTGATGCACTAATTCTAGAGGAGTAGGTAATTATTTATATTATTTAGGTTGTAGTATATAAAATGGCCAATATTCATCCATTTTAACCTAAAAACAGCAACTTTGTATCTTTCAATCCAATATGAGGAAAACAGGTCTCTTCCTACTTGGTCTCATGATAATTAAACCATCTGCTTTTTTTGAGGACACAGGTCAAACGTTAGTGACTGATACTCTTATTATCTGCCCCCACCTTTTTTCAAGAGGAAGAAGGGATGTTCACTTCAGTCCAACAATAGTAAGATGCTTCTGAAACATTTAGTGTTGTATTCAATTTAGTCTTTCCATTTGGACAAAACACTCTTTCTCTATGAATATTAACACACAAGACACTATAATCTGACATAAAGCTGATATTCTGACCTGGGAAATGGATACTGCCTCTTTAATAACATATAACACATGGATCACAATGATACAAAAACAATGTAAAGGTTAAACTGAATGTTTTACAAATGTTTCAATAAATCATGTTTACCTAAAAGGTAAAAATAAACATAAGCTGCAAGTCACTGAGGGTATATTTGAATGAAAGCACAGCATGCCTGTCAGAGGAGGAGGAATGAGAGCCGCAAGGGCAGCTGGCGGAAAAGAAGACCAGGGAGCTGAGCCGTGTGCGTGTCGCCTGCTGGGTACTTACCACTGAACATGGCATGTAACACATGCCATATCAGAACAGACTGTAAGTGAGGGAAGAGGAGATAGAAGAATAGATTAATATCTCACTGGAAGCAGCCAGACCCCCACTCAGGTACGCTGCAGGAAGAAGTCTGACCTGAGCCTTCAGCTCCCCTAAGGTGGCATCTTCTGAGATTTTGACGTCTCCCAGGTAGCGGAGGGGAACATCCACATGCACATCACCAGCAGCACCTGCAGAGGACAGAGCCAGATGTTAGAAAGGAGCTTGAATGCATTTATTTCATATTTTTAAAATATATGCCATGTTTTGATGTTGTAAATACTTTTAATACAGTTCCATTCATGTAACTCAGAATCAGTTCCTCCAATTCAGGCCTCCTGCCTTTGGAGGGGAGGAAGCTATTGGCACAGGACCATGGCTTTCTCACTGGTGGGGGTTTGAAGAATTTCACACATGTGTCTACTAGAATGTTCTTTTTGATACTCCTTCCTCAAAGAGTACTTTGCCCTTATTCTTTGTATTACCTTCCTGTTTCTTTCTCACATCACACCTATCCCACCTGTTTCTCTCTGTCTGTTTTCTTGTGTGTGTATAAAGACTACGACAGTCAGGGGAGGGCAGACCTGCATTCTCATTGTCTGTCAAGTGTGTGGCAGGGTGGGTGTCACGTGGTTGATGTTTACTGACAGAGTCCTTGAGAGTAAGAAGGCCCTCTACATTTGTTATAAAAAGGGGGAAATAAAACGCGCTCTCATCTAAAATCCTGGGTATAAAAGTTGGCAACTAAATTTAAAATTCAGAATAATTTAACTCATTTTTGCTTTAATTAAATCTCTTAGTTTATTGTTGGGCACACTGCTAATATACAACAAAATTAGATTGTAAATAAGTTAAAACAAAAAGCTTCATGAATGGTTTTTCTTGTATCTCAAGGACACCAAATGCTAACAGATACTTTTTGGAAACTCCGGATTTAAAAATGTTTCTCATGTGTTGTTATATAAAGAAGGACTATCAAACAATGATCCTATTTCTTCACTTTCATGGAAAAACTCACTGATTAAACACGCTTTTTAAGTTTGTAGCCAACTCTATATGTAACTATTATTCTATTACCATAGCATTTTTAGAATTAGTTAACACATCTAATATGACCCAACCAAAAAAAAACTTAATGCTAATTTCATAGCTAATTCAACATGAAATTATTTTATTGGTCTAAACATGTATTCTTAACTTCAAAGAGTAAGGAGAGAAGAACTTGATTCATTTTTAGTAGTTTCAATACTGAGGTTTAAAAAATAAAAAATAAATGTAAGTATATAATACTTTAACCCCCCCCCCCAAAAAAAAGCTAAATAACTAAATAAAGCATGATTAACAATATATAAAGAGTTGATCCTAATAATGTATCTACAGTTACAAAGGAGACTGATTGGTGTTTTCTTTATAATGAAATGGAAACCCACTGTTGACAATGGAAAATCAAACTCGCTGCCTGTGATTTCTTGCTCATAGTGACATGTGCTGAATTCTGTCTGTGGAGAAACCACTTAGAAGTAAAGCAGAGCATATATACTGTTCAGAAGGCAGTGGGGGCGTGGAATGACCTGTAGGCAGGGGGGGGGGGGGGGGGGGGGGGGGGGGGGTGGGGGGGGGGGGGGGGGGGGGTGTGGGGGGGGGAGGAGCGGGGAAGGGTGCAGGGGACAGACTCCAGCCCTGCCTCTGTCCCAGCTGCCTCCATATCCTAGTCTACCAGGAGAACCCTGAGAGAGGGCATAAAAATTCCTTGAAAAAATATACTGACAAAGACTTTAACAAATTGTACCTTATAGCGAATGGTTGGTTTTAAAGCACTGCATAAAAGGATGGTGTTACTGCTTTGGAGTGACTTGTGGAATAAATAGGTTGATTTTCAACCATACATTTAAAAAAAGAAATAAATGTCATTTGCCCTCAGAGCAGAAGCAGTTGTTCTATTTTCTTTAGGACACGTAGGCCACTGTGATTCTGTTGGTCTCACCTGGGGTGGAAGTAGCTCTCCAGACCCCGCCTTGAGAAGGGGTACAGTTCGTCTGGTCCAGATGTCTCTTCCCCTGACTGTTGGGCCCCGGAGGCTGGTACCACCAGATGGGCACCTTCAGGAGACCCTGGAGAAGGGAGCATTTCTCACTGCTGTGAGGTACACAGATTAAGTGAACTTCCATTGCTACTTCCATAAAGAGGAACATCTTGATGCCAAAAAGTGTTCCCAAACTTAATTGTTTTTCCTTTCAGATGTATAACTGCTATATATTACACTTTTAATTGTTTTTACAATCAAAAAGTTTAAGTGATAAAATAAGACTAAATGTTCATTGTTTAGAAGTAGCTCAGTAGTTACATACATGAACAGTATAAACAAAACAGCAAAATGTTTGACAGAACCAACTATATAAATATATCCAGGCCCCGTGAGAGCAGCAAGGCCCCAGATCCGGCTGTTTTCATTCATTCGAGTTCCCAGGGGAACTTGAGAGAATCAACAGCCTAATGGTCTAAGTTGGATTCCTATATACACACTACAGGAAATAAGCACATTTCCTTAAACCTGTCTTGTAATTTTAGTTTTACTAGTGTAACTGGTTCTTCACTAACCTTTTTTGTCTGTTAGTAAAGAACTTTAATAGTTTTATTAGGGATTAAAGATGTTACAGAAGATGAGAATGTGAAAAAACCATGTAAAATATTTTAAATATGTATTTCAAGAAATGCATATTAAAATAACTTGTTTATTAAGTAGGTGAAGATTAATAAACACTCAACCTCCATTCAATGAAATAAGTATAAATCAGAAAAACAAAATTCTATTTTTTTACTTATCAGACTGTCAAAAACCAGAAAGTTTAATAATATTCTATATGTTGTTGAAAGTATGGGTAAATTGGTGGCAGAAATATAAACTTGAAGCAAAGTTTTTGGAGAGTAATTTGAAATTGTCACAATTTAAATGCCACGCCCTAGACCTGCCATCCATGGTGAGAATTTGCCTTCTGATGGACGAGCCCTGAGACAAAGTCACGGGTACAAAGACAGTCACTGCCAATTGTTGATGGCAGCAGAATAGAGTGGTAGGTCTAGGAATTTATTCTGTAGATAAATGGACATTTATAGTATTTTTTGCAGTGTCATTTATATTTATATTAACAAAAGACTGCAAGCAACCGAAATCTTCTTTGAAAGAGATTGGTTAAATTATAGTACCTCCATACAATGGGAGATATAGATACCACCTATAGAATGAGATGACTTGATGTGTATTGCTACACATCAAGGTGGGTGGGCAAAGGTGGGTTTACAGTTGCAATGCAAACAATACAATTAGTAAATAATAATACAAGAATAATTTTGTATTTCATGTACTCATAATTGTAAACCTCCTTTTGCCCACCCCTATATATGGATAACAAATATGTATATATGCGCTATGTACACACACAGACTTACTTGTGTGTTGACACAGAGGCATCTGGCTACCTCTGGAGGGACACACTGAGTGGCTGGGGGGCCAGGGAGGATAGTTATTTTTCCTGGCTCAGCTTTTTATACACTTTGAATTTTGTATCATGAGTATTACCAATTCAAATATTAACTTTAAAGAGCATGTATGTAAAATACCACAGAATTTCATGAAGTCATGGAAAAGAATAAGGTAGGTCTGTATGTGCTGAAAAAACCAACAGATATAAAACACTGTATGGAATATGATCCCCTGTATGGAAACTTTAAATATATATGCATATATTTACACTCAGCATACAAACAGGTATCACTTTTCTTCTTGAAAGGACAAGTAAGTTAATTGTGGCTCTTTCTGGGGAGAAAGACGTAGAAGAAACTTTTGTTTTTCATTTTATATAGCCTTCTAGGCTGTGTGAATTTTCTAATCATAAGCTAATGGATATCTGAGTACTGGAGTTTGGGGTCAACTTTTTAAAAAAAAAATCTTTACATGTGTCCACATTAAAAATACGAATAAGTAATTAATGGGTTTAGAAAATGGGAACATGCAGTGTTTATGAAAGAGGAGGAAAAGGAGCCCTCATATCTGCTGGTAGGACTGTAAATCTAGTACAACTCTCTGGGAAAACAATTTGGCAACATACATTCTCAAGTCTTTAAAAAGTTCATGCCCTTTGACTTGTTAATTCCATCTTTAGAACTACCTGAAGATGATTTCGTTTTTAAGTACTATTATAAGAAAAAATTTAAAATAAGATAAATTTCCAACAATGAAGATAAAAAGTGAATTAAACTGTGATAAGTCATACATTGTAACTGTTTCAGGTTCACAAATTAAATAGAAAAGGTAGAAAATAAAACTGTATATACAATTGATTTTATAGGAAGGAAATACCTAACATGTAAAATATGATGGCTGTGTCTGGTAGACTTTGGGGTAAGTTCTTTGTTCTCTTTCTGACTGTCACACAGAGACCACAATAATCATTATTCACAGAGTGTCTATTGGAAGCAAAGTCTTACCGGAGAAGGAAGTTTTCCTTCAGTTAAAAGCAGAGTGTCTCCAGAACATAGCATAAGCTCTTTCAGTGTTGCATCCTGGGAATACGGAAATTCTTTTTTGTTACTTGTGACTTCTGCAAGGAACAAACAGACCACTGGACTTTTGTTTGTGAACCCTATGCCTCTATTACCCTTGAAATAAATAAATGAATAAATGATAAAGCAGATGTTGAATAGAAAATAGGCTTATAAAACAGTCTATTATTATATATCAAATTATGAGTAGGAACTACAAGTATCATAGAAGATGATATCATAGAGGAAAGGGAGAGGTGAGAAAGAATGAGACTGATTTACAGAAGATGACATTTTAGTTAAATAATGAGACTGATTCACAGAAAATGACATTTTAGTCCAACCTAAAAGGATTCGTTGGATTTGGAAAGGTGAATGAAACAAGAGAAGGAATTTCTCATGAAAAAGCGAACAAAGTCAAGGTCATGTCAAGAATAAGTATGGGCCCTGGCCGGCTTGGCTCAGTGGATAGAGTGTCAGCCTGCAGACTGAAAGGTCCCAGGTTCGATTCCGGCCAAGGGCACATGCCTGGGTTGCGGGCTCAATCCCCAGTGCGGGGCGTGCAGGAAGCAGCCAATAAATGATTTTCTCTCATCATTGATGTTTCTATCTCTCTCTCTCATTCTCCCTTCCTCTCTGAAATCAATAAATAAATATATTTTTTAAAAAAAGAATAAGTATGGCTTGGTTAGGGAAGAGCTTAGACTAGACTGATTAGAGTGGACGGTATCAGAGTAAGGGGGGGGCTCGATAGGAAGGGTGGTCACAGATCTAAGGGATGTGGAATAGAAAAAAAGGGAGCTTTTAGTTCCTTTGTAAACAGCCACTCAAGACTTCTGAGAAGGAGTTTTTAAAAATCAATCTGGCTGCTACATGCATAACACACTGAAGTGGGGAACACCTGGGCTCAGGGAGGCCAGTTGCAATAATTTAGGTAAAAGGAAAAATAAATGGCTTGAACCAGGAGGCCAGCAGTGGACTCAGGAAGGAGTGGAAAAACTGACAAGCCTTTGAAGGCTGAGCCCAAACAAGAAGGCGGCAGGTAAGTTGGATTGGCCACATTTCAGGCTGAAAAAGATCAGGATGGGAAAGACAGGCAGCAAATCGGGAAGAGAAAGCAATTTTGAGGGTAATGAGTTTGCTCTAGACAGTTTTAGAACTGTTTGATACCAATTTGGGACTTAATAGAGAAGAAAATCTGGAAACTATGTGACTACATATTACTCTTGACATCCAAACTATACTAGTATGTCCTGAAGATTCTTTTCTTTTTTTAATATATTTTTATTGATCTCAGAGAGGAAGGAGAGGAAGAGAGAGATAGAAACATCAATGATGAGAGAGACTCATTGATCGACTGCCTCCTGCACGTCCCCTACTGGGGATTGAGCCTACAACCCAGGCATGTGCCTTTGACCGGAATCGAACTCAGGACCTTTTAGTCCACAGGCTGACGCTCTATCCACTGAGCCAAATCGGCTAGGGCCTGAAGATTCTTTAGGTCCACTTCTTACTCTGGGCAGTCAAATCCCTGTCCAAGATTCAAGAGGGTCCTCTCTCCATACTGTTACTGACACAGCAAAGAGTGTTCGAGGGGTGACCCCACTACCTGCTTCAATCAACTTCTGTTGATGTTCAGTGCCACTGTATATCACTGAACAGAAGCAGGCAGATAGGGGATGGGTGGCTGACCACGTTTTACTGTCTAAACGTTCTCATAAAGCTTCATTTTGGGTCTACTTCTAATGCTGTGAGATTGGATAGGAGGTTGGGTGCTATTTGGATAAGATTAACCAGACCCCACCTATCCTGTGATACAACTGTTCCTAAGGCTACCCTAAGAGTTTGGCTGGATCTAGAGATGTAGTTAAGATCAGAGCCTAAGTGATTGGTTGGTAAGATGAATTCTGCCATCAACTCTGAGATTAAAATATTCAGGTTTCAAAATTCAGAGTGTATCTCCAAATTCTTTCATTAGTTCAAAAGTCTTTTGTTTGCTAAAGTTCTCTGCTTCCTAATGAAGAACCACCATTCCCAGGAACACACTCTCTTACCAAAAGAGGACTTAACACAGATGTCAGAAATAGTCCCACTTGGCTGAAACCTTCCCTCTGAATGCTCTCAAATAACTACAGGGAGGGAAGAGTAAAGGTAGATGCATGTATACATTTTTGAATCCTAAACAAATTACATCTTTCTCTAGAATTTATTCATGAGTAGGATGAGTATCCTGTATGAAAATACCATATAAACACAATCATTTTAAAGAGTGAAATATATAAAAATAACCTTACTTCTTCACACAAAGGCTCCCCAGCTTCATAGCACCAATCCATTTTCCTTAAGTGCCACGTGTCACCTGTGAAAGAAGCAGAATCAGAATGAAAAAAAATTCACAAGAATGTGTTTTAAGAGTTTGTCAGGAATGACCCTTCTGGGAAATGAAAATTGAATGGGATTTGATCTAATAATTAACTAATTTTTTTAAAAAAATTCCCTCGCCTGGCTAGTGTGCCTCAGTGGTTGAATGTCAACCTATGAACCAGGAGGGTCACAGTTTGATTCCCAGTCAGGGCACATGCCTGGGTTGTGGGCTTGATCCCCAGTGTAGGGCAGGAAGCAGCTGATCAATGATTCTCTCTCATCATGATGTTTCTATCTCTCCCTCTCCTTTCCTCTCTGAAATCAATAAAAATATATTTTAAAAAATGAAATCAATAAAAACATATATTTAAAATAAAATTCTCTCTTCCAGAGCATGAAAAATAAGTTGTTTCCACAATTTGGTTAATCTCCTATTCCACCAAGAATAGATGTATAATTGTGTATCCTATATAATGAGGTAATATGCAAATTGACTGTCACACCCTTGCACACAAGATGGCCACCTCCATGTGGTCACAAGATGGCCGTGCCCATGTCATCACAAGATGGCTGGCAGGGGAGGGCAGTTGGGGGCAATCAGGCCGGCAGGGGAGGGCAGTTGGGGGCAATAGGGCTGGCAGGGGAGCAGTTAGGGGTCGATCAGGCTGGCAGAGTGGTTAGGGGGTGATCAGGCTGCTAGGCAGAAGTGGTTAGGGATTATCAGGCAGGCAGACAGGCAAGTGGTTAAGAACCAACAGTCCCGGATTGTGACTGGGCCTAAACCGGCAGTCGGACATCCCCCGAGGGGTCCCAGATTGGAGAGGGTGCAGGCTGGGCTGAGGGACACCCCCTCCAGTACACGAATTTCGCACCAGGCCTCTAGTAATTATATATTTGCAAATGAAAACACTTGCTACTATTACATGATAGCTATGTTACGCCTTTGTTTACATGTATACACATATCACACATGAGTATAAATATATGTACATATACATATAAGTACAGAAGTTAAGTTTCATTTCACTGTCTTGGCTGAAAGTATATGCTAACATTGCTCAGCAACTGATAATGTGTTCAGCAAAACTGGTGCTATCCAATTAGCGGTTAATCTAACAAAAAATAGTACTTTTGGAATACATTTAATAAAGTTGGTATAACACTTATAAATGTAAACAGTCTTTAATTAAATTTCTGTTTTTCACATGCTTGCTGCACTGAGGAAATGGGAAGAAAATTTTTTGAAGGGAGCCGAGTCAAGTGGAAATTGGAAATCCTGGTTATTAAGTTAAACAGCAACATCTTAAAAATAGTCAATTCCCCCACCCACTGAAAGAAACTACAGCCAGAGGAATAAACCTAGATCTCATATTCATCCTGCATAGGCCATAGGTTTTGAATCCCAATACTCTTCTTTGCAGACCCTTTTTGTCATTAATTCTAGTTTTAAATACAGTAAGATTTACACGAATATTTAACTTAATCTAAGTATATATATTTTTTGCAAACACACCAGTAAGTTAAAAGTGAACACCATTACTTCATAGCACAGCAAGATGGAAAGAACTCGGGTTTTGAAATCTGAGAGACTGTGTAAATCACACTTGCTGTGTAACTCTGGGCAAGCCATTTAACCATTCTCAGCCTCTGTCCCGTCCTCTGTAAAATGGGAACGGGGATGATCCCTGCATGGGAACACTGTTGTTGAGATGAAATGGGACAATGCATAGAAGCTCCAGAGCACATTACCTTCCCTTCCAGACAACGAATGCAGTCAGAGAGTGGCAAAGCACTCCAATGAAAGCAGTGTGATGCTCGCTGGCTGGGTTCCCCTGGTAGCTACTTCAGACGTCCTGCATTTGTGTTTTCATTCATATGACATTCCCTAATCTATACTAAACCACACAGATATGAAGCACAATCACCAACATTCTGAATCAATGAGGTTTAAACAAAACCAGCGAAAGATTGGAGTGATTCCACAAGGTAATCTTAACTTCATCTCTTTTATGTCTTTGTTGGATCCTCAGTGGTCGGCTAACTTACAACTAGTGTTCTTCCAGCTTGCAAACAGAATCAGGAGAACTTATTATGTACACACAGATATAAAGTGTAACAGATAACCCTGAGAAAAAAAGGGCTGAAACATTTTCATTAGGCTTATAAGTACTTTCTTATAAGTCAAGGATATGGATAAGATTCTACATCATCATGGCCTGTAACTTACCTGGTAGGCCAAATTTCTCCAGCATTATCTTCAAACACTGTAAAAAAAAAAAAAAAGTATGTTCATTAGTTTCCTGTTTCAGAGTTACAGTATTGAAAGAAACAACCTCTTTGGACCCTGGGGCCTATTTAAGTCTGATCAAATAGATAATACACATAGTTAAGAAGATGACCGAATAAGCTCTCCTTCCTAAGAGCTGGAGGGAAAAAACCCAGTTATGTTTTGAGAGAAGACCAGGAATGCTGTTGTGGGTGTGTTATAATTTGGGATGACAATCAAACAACCAAGTAGCAGCTGGTTATGTAAGCCTGGAATTTTGAGGCGAGATCCAGTTTAAGAATTGAGCCCTAAGGTGCTTATAGCTGGAGAGAAGAGGAAGTAGCAAACTAAGAAGGGGTAGGAAGGGAAATCTGAAGAGCTGCAAGGAACAGTCATCACATATATGCCATGCTGCCAAGAGAGAGGGAGAGAGATGAAGACTGAGAACCGCCCGCTGCACTTGCTAAGAGCTGTTTCGGTGGTGTGGTGGGAACAAGTTTGCCTGCCATGAGAACAGAAATATATACACATCGCTCCTTTGTAAAGATTTGTGATTTTCTTTCTTTGAAATTAAAAACAAACACAACACTCAAATTCAAAGAGAGAATCTTAAAAGCAGCAAGTGAAAATGAAAAACTCCAAATGAAAAACTCCAAAAATATTTTCAGCATGTAACAAGAGTAAAGGAACTTACTAAAAAGGTGTTTTCTCATGGAACTCTTTAACCACATGCAGAGGATCGTAAAATGATCCTCAAGTCTCAATCGCTGCTGCAGCCATTCGTGTTTGTCAGTACCCCAACCCACTTCTCGTCTTGTATCCCAGATTCTTTTTTTTTTTTAAATTAAATCTTTATTGTTCAGATTATTACAGTTGTTCTTTTTTCCCCCCATAGCTCCCCTCCACCCGGATCCCACCCCACCCTCTGCCCTTACCGCCCCCCCCATCCTCACCCACAGGTGTACGATTTTTGTCCAGTCTCTTCCCGCACCCCCCCCACCCCCTCCCCCCCCCAGAATCAAC